TCTGCAACTTTGGAACGCGATTATTCGGAAACTTCTGGACAAAAAGCAACAAAGTAGGATACCACTAAAAAGAGAATTAAAAGCCCTTTAAAACGATGTGTCACTTGACCCCCATTTCCATTTAAGATTGTAAGGGTGACATCTACCCCTCCTAGGGGGTTGAAAGAAAAAGGCTAAAAATATTAATTTAAAGTGTCCCCGTTACAAATAAAATTGACGTGTCTTTCCGATTTTTCATATTTTTAACTGCAAGAAAGATATTAAGGGTGGGAAGTTTTAAAATTGACACAGTGTATATTCTATAGGGACCAGTTAGACTAGGGTTACCAACCGTCGTCTATTTCAGAAGAAGGTTCTCTTTTTGTTTTCACTGTCCTCTTTTCTCTCACGTATTGAAAAAGTCCTCTTTTTTGCATACCAAACTCAAAATCTAAAAAAAAATCGTCTATGGCCACAGTGCTTTAAAAAATCGTTAATCTGTCTCTTTCGCTATAGCCCAGAGCCTATAGAGGCCGAGGTTCAACAAATTAGAGACAAGCTGAAATTTCGCATGGAGCTTCATTTTGTAGATCTTTAAACATCCTGAAACCCCAGCGATGAACCGTTGAGCCCGTCACCCCAAAACCACCCCTACAAGGGGTAAAAATGGCCCTTTTTTTACTTTTTCTACAATAACTTTAAAACTACGAATTTTAGGAAAAAAAGTCACGAGTAAAAAATTGAAGAGAAAAATTGAAGAGATGAATTTCCTACCACATAGGTAAAGAACCAACATTTTAGAATTTCAGTGGCGCACGTGCGAATTCTTTAATTTAGGAGGATTGGTTTTAATAACCCACCATTCTGTGTTTTTCAAATGAAAGCATTTTTGAGATAAATCTCGAGACCAAAAGATTTATCAGGATACAAGTTCCTATAAAAACGATCTTTTTAATAAAGGTAAGTTACCAGTGGCGGATATAATTTTTTAAAATGTGTGTTTTTTACATTTTAAAAACATTGAATAAGAAAAATTGCTGTTTTACAAATAATTTCAAATGAAAGAGGTATATTGAAGAATTTACACGTTTAATAACAAAATAAGAAAACCTTAGCTCAAAAATAGGATAACTTATCTTAAGGATAGTCCTCATTCATTTCCACATTTGTTGGGTTCGTACATGTAATGTCATTGCATTGACCACATGCCATAGTGCAGGTAAGTCCCATTCAGTTGCATGTACATGCTTTTTTACAGCTTCCCGAAGAGCAATTGCAAAAAATTTTCTATAAAACCCATGTAGGAGCAATGGGCTGGTCTGAATGTATTGGATTCATCTCTCGATTTTTCATTTTCTAACCCCAATCTTGCGGTGGTAAATTGTTATTTAACATTTATTTAACACATTTAAAAAAATTATCTCCGCCACTGGTAACTTATCTTTATTAAAAAGATCGTTTTTATAGGAACTTGTATCCTAATAAATTTTTTGGTCTCGAGATTTATCTCAAAAATGCTTTCATTTGAAGTTAAACACAGAATGGTGGGTTATTAAAACAATCCTCCTAAATTAAAAAATTCGCACCTGCACCATTGAAATTCTAAAAAATTTAGTTCTTTCCCTATGTGGTAGGAAAATTTCTTCTCTTCAATTTTTTACTCTTGACTTTTTCTCTTAAAATTCGTAGTTTTAGAGTTATCGAAGAAAAAGTTAAAAAAGGGCCATTTTTACCCCTTGTAGGGGTGGTTTCGGGGTGACGGGCTCAACGGTTCATCGCTGGGGTTTCAGGATGTTTAAAGATCTACAAAAAGAAGCTCCATGCAAAATTGCAGCTTGTCTCTAATTTGTTGAAGGTCACCCATGTAAAACGATGTATCGGTCCTGAGCTACTACTCCAATTCGTTTGTACAGAAAAGAAAATGAAAAAATATATTATATATTGTACAGAAAAGAAAATGATATATATATATTTTTGGAACCGATAAACATGTTTAACTATTTATTTTATGTTAAATTACCGTTCGCTATGTTTTGAAACAAAAGTTTTGTTGAAATGGTTTGTTTTATTTTGACAAGTTTTGGGTATAAATATTTTTTTAAAAGGAAGAAAGACCATTCGCACACAGTTTATAACTTTTTGGTAAATTTTAGACATTTGGGTGAGATTTCAGGAAATGGTTCGCCTGTGTCTCTTTTTTACCCTTTTATCCTCTATTTTTTTATTTTGAAAGTTGGCAACCCTAAGTTAGACCTACTATAATCTTGTAAAATCCTAAAATTAAGAAATTGGCGCTTATCACGTTTTTCCTCTAGACCCTTCATTTCATCTTGTGTTGCACTCAAGATTTCAAATGATGATAAATGACTTGAATTCGAACTATGTATATCGAGAAGATAATTACATATAAATTTGTTGCAAATTTGCATGGAGTATTAGATTAAATACTTTCTACCATTCTAAAACCGGTATAAAATAAATTGTGCAGAACTGTTAAGAATTTAACAGAATTTATGTCGTCTGTTCTTGTTTTTGCTATTTTTTACAGTTAACTGCGAAATACATAAATATTAAGAAGATTAAAAGATTTCCTCCTGACATCTATCTTCTTGATGTAAAGAACTCTGATAGATTTATTTCTTGTACTAGGCCAAACCATATGGTTTTAACATAATAGATACACCATAGTTTTGGATTCTCTTCAGGTTTAAATATATTTGAAAAAATAGTATAGAAAGATTTTTGGATTAGATGATGACGTTCAATCATAGAAGACATTAAGATAATTAATTAATCAAAAAGTACATATTAGCCACTAGAGATACATGAGCCAATAGAAAATATAATTATGTTTTCAACGTTTTAAACGTGCTGTGAAAGTTTTAATAAGTATTGTGTTTCTGCAAGTTTATACTGTATGATCGAATAAAAACGGCGTCCAGTTGGCTGGAAAATGATGACCGATTACATGCCTCATATAATTGTACATATAAAATGAAAGCGATCTTCATTTCATAGCCATCGCTGACGCCGTTTTTTTTCGATCATAATAAAGTAAATATAAGTAATTATTTCTGAAAAAATAAAATGTACAACATCCTCGTTATAAAATCAAAGTTGTATAACAAGCGAACAACAATGATTGAAATATCTATTGTGATTTTGTTGGTTTCGTGTTTCGTTGGTAATAAATTTAGGATATTTCAATATTTATCGGCTTTAATCACTACTGACAAAAGAAACCAAAAATTGATATTTTTTGACGATATTTAAATCATTTTTTCAAAGTAATGTGCGACTAATGACACATCAGTAGATGACAAATAAATGGATCTAGTTTGAAGGCTTTCTAATTTAACTATTGAATAAGTATTAAAAATATTAGTCAAGTTACGTGCTCGTAGTAAATTTTGATAATAAAATAGTCAAGAAAATAGGCCTTCAAATACGAAGTTTTGGTAAAAACTTGAATTTTTCATACTTTGAAAGATCTAAAAACGAATTGCGAAAAATATTTTTTAAATTCATCTGAATGAAATAAATAAATTCGAAATTTCGAAGAAAAAAAATTGTGATTATACTTTTTTTGCTTAAATCAAAACCGAAATAGGGTGGCTAGAAAGCTGTTATTGAAATATTTTTAAGTCCTTACCGTTTCTCTGAAATTAAAAAAAAAACACTTTATTTATATTTTTCACCCCTTCTCAGAGTGAATTTAAAAAGAAAATTAATTGAACCATATAATTTTCCAAACAAATTGAATAGAAATGGTAAATATATGAATTTTCTACCATCATCCTCTAGTTTCTAGTTAATTTTGATCTGAAAAAAAAGTATAGAGATAATTTCTATGTTAAATTTGACGCTCCACAGTATTTTTTTCTGGTTCTTACCGCTTCTCCGAAATTTCGAAAAAATAATTTTATTTATTTATTTCATCCCTTCCCGGGGATGAATTTTAAAAAATATTTCACAATTCGTTTTTAGGCCTTTCAAAGTAACATATCAAAAATTCAAGTTTTTACCAAAACTTCGTATTTAAAGGTCTATTTTAAGGACTAAAAACGCATATTATGGTATAATGAACTAGATTTATTCCAAAAAAGTGTTTGTTAGAAGGTATTGATCGATAACTTGTTTTAGCATCAGTACCGAGTATTCCCAAAATTCTCGAACACAGCTAACTGTTTCAATCATTCTTGATCGCTCCGTATTATAGTATTGGTACAGCAATCAATAAACTTAAACAGTGATTCACACAAAAATATGTTCCAATGGTACTGTTAAAGAACTAAAAGTATTATTACGAGTAGATTGATATGCAGGTGAAACTACGTAATTTACTATTATTACAAAGTGAAAAGTTCAGTCTATACCTAAAGATTCTATTCTAGACTTAGAAATATTTAAAACATGATATAAAAATAGAGTAATATTCAAAGAGTTATTTTAATGAAAGTATTGAATCATCACTTTTAATTTTTTATATAATTAATTATCATACTTGTTGAATATGGTAATTTTATTCCATACTTTAAAACTATCTCACTATTTTTAATAAGAAGACTCTGTAATTAAAAAGATTCAGTCACATTATGACTTTTACTTTATTTTCCATTTTCAAAAATGTCAGTTTCTTAGTTCGCCAGTATGAATAATATATGTAACACTAAACAGTATAAAAAAACTAAAACTAAATATAAAAACCATGCAATATTAATAGAATATACCCGAATTAACGTTATTCTTGCTAAATAAACAAACCATCCATATCCCCACACTTAATTTCAATAATAAACTCCCATAACAGGCACAAACATCTAAAAAAAAACCATTTTGCCACATGCGTCGAGGTAACTTAACAGCGATTAAAAAAATAAACATAATATGTGAAATGAACACGTGAACGTAGAACGAATACACAATAAAACAGAAATAAAATAAACAACGCTTCGAAAAAAAGAACATTGCACAAAAATAAACAATTGCTAAAAATAATTTTGAAAAAAAGTGAAGTCTACCTTTGTTGGTGGGCTCGTCGATGCGGGAGAGACTATACCGTGGTCAGGAGTACTCTGTGGTCTCTTTGGGGCTACTCGAGCTCCAGATTTTCCTGAAACAAGAAAAAGGAAATTGAAGTACAAATATATTAACAGCACAAAACATTTTCTTGACAATATGAGAGATAGTTCTGCAATTATTTCTTTTAAGTAATGTTTCAAATACAATATAACCGAAAATAAAAAAGCGGCAGCGATGGCTGTGAAATGAAGATCTCTGTCGTTTTATATGTAAAATTATATGGGGAATGTCATCAATCGTCATTCCCAAACCAACTATATATAGACGTCTTTTTTTTCGATCAGACGGTATAATATACCTATATGACGATGGCAGTTATATTTGTTTAGGAAACTTTTAAATCTATATTTCTTCTTTTTCTTTTTCTTAATTACTTTTTTATTTCTAGTTTCAATTAAAATGTAAATGCTTATTTTTGCATTAAATTTATCATCTACCCATATGTGGTACTAGGAGGTACTTCGAGGGCTGAAGCAGGCCTGCGTCAGTCAACCTTTAGCACAAGAACACACAATCTACAAAATTTGTATTTGTCGCATTGAACGAAAATGTGTAAAGGTTGATTCTCACTATACCCTCCGTTTCCATTCCATATCCGTTCCGTATTTTTATTGACGCTATACGTAAGCTTCCGTTCCGTCTCACTTCCATACTTTTTATTGTACAGGGTGAGTCAACGATAGAGTAAAGTCCATTATCTCATTTGTTTCAAGATTTAGAAAAAAAAAATTATATAAAAGTTGAAGGGATGGTTAAGATACACATTTTAAAATTATTATAGAATATACAAGGTGCTTCAAAAAAATGTGGCGGCTATAACATATGTTTTTTAAACGCAACACCCTATTTTTTATTTTATTTTTAGATTCTGCGTAAAATTCCATAACTTTTTTGTATATAATGTTATGTATCTAAAATTAATAGTTTCTGTAATATTTCAATTTATTTAAACAAATGTTAAATTGCAGTGTGGTAAAAAATTGTCAGTGGTGTCATTGTTTCTGAAGTTGGAGTACCAAAATTTGGTAGGAGAGTTTTATAGAGATGAAAAAAAAGATATATGTAAATATATTTTAGTTAAATGATACAGGGTGTTCAAAATATATTTATGAATTTCAACTACTTAAAATTAAAAAATCTCAATTTTTTTAAATGGAACACCCTATATATTATCATTTTTTCTAGATTTTACAAAACTGTTCAACTTTTATTAAGTATGTCATATCCCTAATTTTAATAGTTTGTGATTTATTCCCATTTTTTCTATTTTTACCCATAATTTTAATACAATTACCCTATAAAATCATAGTTACCATGACAAAACAAAACTATTTATTACTTACCATTAACAAGTAGCTTAGTTACAATTGCTGGTATTAGTTAAAATTAATTAACTTTACTCAAATAAACTAAATCGCAGTAGTGAATTTCTTGGTGTTTTTCTATATTATGAAAGATGACACTTGGAATTATATGGAAAAGCCAATATTACTACTGCCGTGAAACCGTCCCATTACACATTGAATATGTTTTCTAGATATATATCTATCCTTATAGTACTTAGCAAAGTACTATATAATATATAGTACTGAACCAAAAAATGTGGTTTTCTAAGCTTGTCCGTGTATATCAATTACATTGACTAATTCATTTCAAGAAAATCTGTAACTATTATCTCTACCATTTATACTTATTACAAAAAATTAAACTAAAATTCAGATTTTGTTCTTAACTTGCTTAACAGACATCAAAATGTGATAATTATTACTTTTTGTCATGGTAACTATGATGTTATAGCGCAATTGTATTAAAAATATGGGTAAAAATAGAAATAATTGGAATAAATCGCAAACTAATAAAAATAGGTATATGACATTCTTAATAAAAGTTGAAAAGTTTGGAAAAATCTATCAGAAAAAAGATAATATATAGGGTGTACCATTTAAAAAAATTGAAATTCCTTAATTTTAAGTAGTTGAAATTCCTAAATATATTTTGAACACCCTGTAACATCTAACTAAAATATCTTTACATAGGTCTTTTTCTATATCTCTATAAAATTCTCCTACCAAATTTTAGTTGTCCAACTTCAGAATCAATGCCATCATTGACAATTTTTTAACCCACTGCAATCTAACATTTGTTTAAACAAATTTAAATATAACAAAAACTGTTAATTTTAGGTATATAACATTATATATAAAAAAAGTTATGGAATTTTTCGCAGAATCTAAAAATAAAATAAAAAATAGGGTGTAGCATTTAAAAAAACATATGTTTTAGTCGCCACACTTTTTTGAAGCACCCTGTATACTGTATAATAATTTTAAAATGTGTATCTTAACCATCTCTATAACTTTTATATTTAATATTTTTTTGTAAACCTTAAAACAAATGAGATAATGGACTTTACTCTATCGTTGACTCACCTTGTACAATTTATATCATTACGAAAGCTTTATTTATTTTTTTTATCTTTTGATGGTCCAATTAAAAGGTGAAAGGATGAATAAATATCAGCCAGATTTTAGCTTAATTAACAAAGACAAAACTTAAAACTTGACAACGCGGTTTCCGATACGCTTCAGTCCGTCCGCTAAAAAATGTGTGGAAGAAAAGGATATGGAACGAAAGGGAAACGGAACGTATAGTGTGCATTGTCCTATTCATTTACATGATATAATAGTTAACGTAAACGGAAGGGAAACGGAAAGGAGCTGATACGGAAGGTATAGTGAGAATCAACCTTAAAGGTTCCTAGAAATTCGGTCCCAATTTACTAGTGCGAGTAGACTTCCTGTTCCAGACATAGGGTGTCCACCCAGGAGAATACTACAATCCTCTCCAAGGTAAGCAGAGCTAGTGCCATCTTTTTTATATCAGCAGGAATTTCTAGTTTCTAGTTCATTGAATATTTATTAAGATTTCCTTTCATTTTTAAACATTGGTCTTCGAGCCGGATAAAACCAAGCAGTCAACTTTTGAAAGTAAAAAAAGTTATTTTTCTCATATTTTTTTTCTTCGCATTTTATTTTCTATACTTTAAAATGGGGGGTTCAAATACAGGGGGTTCTCATACAGGGGGTTAAAATCTTCTCTTTTTTCAATTTGAAGTGCTTTTAGCGATTCGAATGAAATTTTAAGGGTAAAAGTTCCTATAAGTGGGACATATTTTAATGCTAAAAAAGTGTCGACATATTCGCCAAGGACGTGCATATGAATTGTCACTGGAATATTTTCTAAAAAAGTATGTACGCCACTGACATTTTTTCCTCTTATTAGCAAAAGTTAGGCCATTTAATGCCGATTAAAAAGTTGTATATTGATATTTTGTCCATTTCGATCTCCTCCATGAGGTAAACGCAATTCTAACAAAATTCTTATTTTTAGCCGACCATACCAACAGGTATTATCTGACAAACGAGTCTAAAACAGCGGAAGGAATTCGGGCCAAAAAAGTCGATGTTGTCACGTTTAATTATAAAAAAGCAAAGTTGCTCGATATTACCTATAAATTGAATATATTTTAGTTCATTTCAGCATACATAATTATATATATGCTAATATGTTGACGTAGTTCTTATTGTAATAATGTATATTTATCTAATTACAGTTTTCGTTCATTCTGACTATTATAAAAGGTAAAGTATTTCCTTAAGATAATGTCCGCTTAGGGTAAGCTGGCAACGCTGACAAAATTCATCATGGCATCCCGGATTCAACCACTCTGATTAGTCGAGATTGCCGCACGTCTTGCCGCCGTTACCCCCAACTTTATGCCCCTCTCTAGGAATAGTAGAAACTATTCTTAATCTAAGGTAGAAACAGTCACTACTATTAAAAAATCCAGTGGCGGGGTTATTGTATTGTGTTTTATATCTTTAACTTGATTTGTGTTTATTATAATTAGTACACGTGTTTCAACAAATATTACTATATTTGGCAAATGACTAAACAAAATGTAGGTACATTTAAAGTAAAATAATATTATAAACTTTACTGAAAAATATTATAAAATTCCTGATATATTTTTATGAAACACCGCACGCTCGCAGATATTTTATGAATGAAATCGGTCATGATTTTAGAAAATTGCGATCCCCTCACCGTTGCCCCGTTGTTTCAGATCCGTTTATCAAACTGTATGGTAGGCTATGAAGATCGGCAAAAAAAAAGTTTTTTTTTAATTTCACTCAAAATGAGTTATTTGGGCCATAAATGACCTAAATACAAAATATTTTCATGGTGTCTGTTTGTCCATCTGTAACACGATAACTCAAAAACCGCTAAACCGATTTTAACCAAATTTGGCACAAAAATACTGTGGCACTCGAGAATCTGACTATTAGTTTTTAGTGGGAGTGGGGGGTTGGTAAGGGGATATGGGAGGGGGTTAAAAATTTAAAAAAATCGTAACTCCAAAATTACAGTAGCTAGAGAAACGCGGTTTTCAATTTAAGATTATGAATAATATTTGCAACAAAATTTGTAATAACATCAAAATCAATCAAAGTCGCAGTTTTTGAGATAAAAAAAAATTGGAAAAATTCCTTTACTTTGAAACTAAAAGAACTGCCTACCAACTTTTTATTAACATATTTTAGTATGGGCGGCTACACGTGCCTACCGGCGCCATTTTTTTTTTATTATAAGAGCTACAAATGCCCGACGCACACATTTGCACGCACTGTTTGCCCCTGTTTAGACAGTTTATACACTGTTTATACACTTATTACAAAGTCACTAAATTTTGAATCCACAGATACAAATTTCTCTTAAAAATAAAAAAATATTTTAGATGAAAAATCAATCGCTATAGTATGTAATTGGTTTAAAACTAACAATGAATTACAGATCATAAATTATGCCTAGACAAACCTAAAAATATGCCTTGTACTATTACAATATAGATGTAAAATAATAAATAAAATAACCGTTCAAATGGCGTTTTTCATGCAAAAATTAAAACTGGGTCACAAAAAATTAACAAATGTTTCGCCTTTTACGTGGTAATTTAAAACTAGGTTAACC